CATACACACAGATTTGATCTTAAAGGTGCCCTTTGGACTTATCTTGTAAAACAGCAAAAGTTCTGTTTCGATTCTTTCTTAGAGTTCTTTGTGTGTTATTACCAACTGTCGATCAGTGGAATAGGATGAAACTGGACGCAGGAATGTGTATCACATTGCCGGCGTGCTCATGCACGTGCGTCATTCAGAGTAAGATTACTTTGCCATATAAATTGTATTCTGTAACTGACAACATTTTCAGTTTTTGTAATTAGTAACGTAATCCATTGCATTACAAAGCTACAAAAAATGTAATTCCACAAATATTCTTTCTTCTCTTTAAAAATCTCAAAACATTTTCAATGCAAACAAAATGCATTTTGCACATTCAGCATTTACAGTAAAATCGTATAACCCATATTACAAAAACAGGACTGTCACAAACTACAGGTGCACTGTGTATGCCTGGAAAGGTAGAAACAGTCAAACAAGTCAAATTTCTAATTCTAATTTCTATATAATAATAAATGTGTATAAGTGATTCATATTATATAAGCTAAACCACTAGTATAGTCCTGTAAGGCAGAAATAAAGAAGAATATTTCAGACCTGTGTTGTCCTCGGAGCCGTCAGGAGCGGGTACCTCTGTCACCTCGGCCTTCAGCTCCTGGAAGTCTGGAGATCTGTACTGCCACGCTGAGTCTGTCGGGGGAGAGATGGAGAGATGGATTTAGTTGAATAATAAACAGCAAGTTTGAGGTGATTCTGCAGAAAATGTATCCCACCTCTCAAACTGCTGCTGCTGTCTCCCTGCCTGTTGGGCCTGTTCATCAGGTGAGACATCGGACTGGAACCTAAACACACACACAGAGTTTAGTGATTTCTGTTGCACATTTCACATGTGGCATACAATAGCTAAGAGAGCATTTGTGTACCCAAACGTGGCTATGGCACTACTGACAGCAGGAAATGTGACAGCAGGAAACAAACACCTCTGAATGGATTCCCAGCTGCTCTGGAGTCAGACAGTCGGTAGATTGGCCGACCATAACACACATACTTGACACACTCGAAACCCCATCCCACCCCAGCCCGGTCAACCTCACGTCCTCAAACTTCAAACCGCTCATTTGGCCCTTTCTCCCCTGTATCACTGTCAGATATCAGCCTTCTTCTCTTCTCCTTTCTTCATTCCTCCTCTTGTCTTTCCCCATTTACCCCCAACCCCATCCTTGTTTTCCCATTTGGCTCCTTCCTGAAACCATTACTGTGAAAAAAATAAACTGTCAATGTCAAACAATGTCTGTAAACTGTATACTCCGCAGAGGCTTGATGAAGACACAAAGAAGCTGATGTTTACAAAAGAAAGCAGGTTTTCCTGAAAATGGACGAAAGGATGCAAATTTGTGTATCTGTGTCCATTGGTGACTGTTAGTGTATGAGCACGTGCCTGCTGTGCTCTTGCACGTGCAGTGTCCGGTGATTTCAGGCGCATAATGAGCCCTAATGATGCAGAGAACAATAAATGCTAGCAGCTGGAGGCTGATGTTGATTCTGAGCATTGATGAAGAGGAGTTGGAGGTTGCTAATGGAGCAGATGATGAACACCAGTGGCATGGGAAAGTTTCTGTGTGTTATAAACAGAAAAATATTTGAAACAGCTAAAGGTAAACACTTACCTTTAGGGGGGTTTGATACGAGGCCACAACCATCCATCATCGTCACAGGTAAATAGCCACATTCTCCCTGTGTGTGTGTGTGCGCCATATGTGCCCTCCTGTCCTGCCTCTTTGTTTGGGATGTCACTGAGCAGAATACCATAAATCTCACAGACTAAACAAGTCTTAATTTCCCAGAGGAGGCTCAGTCTGAGGAGACAGCGGCCTAATTAACCCCTGCTTACACAGCTCCTATCCTATAAGTCCAGAATCCCTATAATATTGTAGAAACATCTTGCATCTGGACCTCTCAGGATACAGCGTATTATCAGACAGACAGAAGAAATACATTTATTTATGACTGCATAGAAAGAAGAAACTGAAAAAAAACATTTGTGAATTGGCTCCATATTCACCATAAATCTGAAAATAAACTTTTTGGAAGTCAAAGTGTATGTAAATTGCAGATATGTATTATTTGAATATAGCTCAGCTTTCCAACCATGTAGGAAAAACTACGGTGACTGCGAAAAATGCAAAATGCATAATGCCTTTGTTTTGTTTGTCTGTTGTGGGCTACTGTAAAAACATTACAGTTCAAGATGACAGACTCCTTAGAAGAGGACCCGCTTCCTCTGTAGATAAAAACGGCTCATTTTGAAGTAATGAAAACATCAGTTCTTATTTTCAGGTGATTATACACTACCTATAAATACTATTGTATTCAGTTTCTGCCTATAGATCCTTTTAAATATTACACCTTTAGAAAAATGTTCTGTTCTTGTGCTGTTAAATGTTATCAACCCACATCTTTTCTTAAATCTTTTATTATTTCTGCTTTGAGCCCAAGCCAGGTCTCTGTTTATAAAGAATGTTGCCACTTTTAGCTTACAGGCTGGCTGGCTTGTGTTGTCACTACTAGTGCAAATTTTATGTGAAGGTCTATTTTTAAAGTCCTAAAATAACACTACAGAATACCAGCTCATATATTTTGAGAGGCAAATGTTACTGAAGGTCATAACCACTTCTTGAGTTGTAAATGCAAAAATGTTCCTGTCAAATTTACGAACTTGCCAAAATGCTTTGATTTTTATCTCCTCTCTCTTCTGGTTCTGCACATCTTTCTCTCACTGTGATCTATTTTACATCTGCCGCTCACCCTCAGGGGCCATCTCTGTGTATTTCAGTCTACAGGTGTAAACATTAGGAGCTAAGCAGATAACCTGGAGTATGTGGGAGATAGTAAGGAAGGATTTAGTGCTGCTGGCAACCTCGGCTTTACAAGTAATTCACTTAAAGACCCAAGAGGGTAAACAGAGCAACGGCTTAACTGGGAAAAACAAGGGGGATGGTGGGTGAAAAGACGAGCACAGAGGCTAATTAGACGGATGTTTGGCCACTGCAAACACACAATACCAGAGCTTAACCTTACTGGCTCCAAGTTAATTCTTAAAGTTAAGATCTGTGCAGCCCCCTAACCCCTGGAAGTATAGTGTTTTTGATTCCCTCCATCCCCACCAGCCCTGACCCACAAGGCATCATCAAAAGCCCTAAGATGAGACCTTGGCACGGAACCACCACTTCCAGAAAGTGCATCACATTTCAGCCCCCCACCCCAGCAGGCTATTCGCGCCCTGCTAGTCATGCAGAGGGAAACACCAGTCATAAAGAAGGCAGGATCTGCTCATAAATACTGAGCCGACCCTCTCTGGCCTGCCACCATCACCCCTAAAATGCAGGCAGGAAGTGGAGAGCAGAAACCTGAGCTGAGCATCACTGCAGACTAATGGGGCAACCAAAACATGAACCACAAAAATATACACACACATATGCCATTAGAGGATGCACACACATTATTCACCCGGTTTGTGCAGGCAGATATGGTGTCAGGAGTAACCTGAGCTGTATCCCCTTTGCCGCTGCAAGAAGTGGGATCCCTGTGCCTGTGCAATGCACTCTGTACGTGCATGGTATTCCATACATAGATGACATTTATGTGTCATCACTTCTCTGCTTCAATTAACCCCTTATCCTTCAGCCAGAGTCACCAAATGCATATTTCAATAGCCAACCTGTCTGCAGGCAATTAGGTAATCTAGTCGTGCATCTTACTTTCAAGATGGAAAGGGAAGATTTAAATATAAAATATAAACAAATGATCAAATGAGCTGGAAATTCATGAGAGTAGAATATTCAGAAGTAAAAAAAAAATTTTTCTATTTATAATTGTCATTAAGCTTTGCACATTTTTGAAATAGCTCTTTAAGTGTGTGTCTCTTACCCCCAGCAGGTCTCATCAGGCCACTGCCCTGCAGAGAGGGATTTGGTGGCACCACGGGGGTCTGGGGAGGACAGGGTTTGTTCTTCAGCTTCTCCGTCTCCCTCCTCATCTCCTCCATCCTGCGCTGAAGCCCCTCCAACTCCCGCTCCAAACGCTCCTTCTCTCCTTGCAGCAGGTTCCTCTCCCCCACAGCCCGGGTCAGCGCCTCCTGAAGCTCAGGCTGAGCTCTGGCCCCGGCTCCCTGGGGACCCCCGGCGTCCCCTCCAGTCAGCCGGGACACCAGCACCTCCAGCATGCTGAGTCTGGCCTTCAGGCCCTCCATCTCGGGGCCTCCAGTCTGTGGGCAGCTGGCCTCGACGGGGCTGGGCACAGTGAAGGTGTACTGGCATCGTCCACTTCGGTCGTTTCCCCTCCACAGAGCAGCTCGGTCCTGTGCGTCACCTCGCACAAGGAGACCACAAACGCACAACAAGAGAAGGAAGAACATACTGTAGATGGTCCTTCCACACAGACAGATCAGAAGCTTACTTTAAATTCTCCCTCTGAATTACTTTCTTCTGTCCAGGCTTCTTTTATTTTTCTGTTCCTAACTGGAATTGTCTTTTAATCATTTACTAAATCCCAATTTTCTGGGGACGACTTAGTGCCTTATTCTGTCTCACGCTTTCCTCATGTCTCTCCTCTTCTTCCCTTCCCCTGTCTCTCCTCACTGAACAGGTCTGTTAACACTGAGCTCTACGCAACAGCTCACAGATATTTATACAATCTGGAGGGGAAGGAAGGGGCAGAGAGGAGAGGTGAAAGAAGGGAGGGAGGGGAAAAGACTGGGGAGGAGGGGGTATCACAGGCAAAGGGGGAGGGAGGGAAGAGGAGGAGAGAAAGTAATGGGATGCTAGTTGTTTTGGTGACACAAACATCCAAAAACTTGATTTTTACACAAGTTTGAGCATCTGTCTTTCTGCAGAAGCTGTTTTTTGGATTAAAGGCTCCAACATGAAGGCTCTCAATTTTGTGTAATTCAGCCTCTCCAGTGTCATTTATTCATGCAGTCCCGTGTGTTCTAGAGGGATTTGGTTGACGTTTTGGCCCCAGCATTGCAGGGAAAGCTGGGCCTCATTGGATACAATTACCTCCTGAGGAGCCGGTGTCCACTTTCATATTGGTATGGGGTCTGACGCAAGCAGCCAATAAGGGATGTCATTATGGAGGGTCGAGGTTACAAGTCAATCGATGACCGGACACCTGACCCTAACTCCGACAAAGACTAGGTCCCTACAGCTGAACTTGCTGGGAACAGTTTGTTTACATATACATGCTGCAGACTCCACTCACTGCAGTTTTTTATTTAACATTTATACTTAATAGAACATGAGTGAGCTGCCAGGGGGCATAACTCCCCAAGCTCATTCCCTTCATCACTGCTGTCTGGGTGGATTTGTAACAGTCTGATTCTTGTCCCTCCTCTTTCGTCTTTTTGCTTTAACACAATATCACAGACACGTTGAATCACTGCCTGTGATGCTCACTTCTACAGTCATGCGATACGGAGGATGATCCCTTGCTTATTTTCAGAGGGGCAGGGTGAAAGATATGAAAGTTACTCTCATATCCTGCCTCTTTGTTTGGGTTCCTAAAATCTGGCTCCACTCCTACACCTCTTCTTCACGTGTACTTACTCCTGTGTACGTTCAGACTTCTTGGACATCCGTCTCCACTGACCTGACCTGCCAAGCCACCCTGAACCCTGAAACATCACCTGACCCAGATGCTTCACACCAGGGAGGCCGGAGGGCAAAGAGGGGTGCAGAGGGGAAGTGTGCACACTTCCTCTTGCAGGCCAGCCTCACCTGCTTCTGTCAGTGCTCATTTACAGACAGCTGGTGGTACCTGAGACACTTGTCTTGATTAATGAGGCAGGTCTATGATTGGTTGGACAGACGGATGGATGGATGAATAAGCTGCGGAATGCGTTTGATTTTAAAAAAACACGGTACTAACAGTCGGGGTACATCCTCTTACAGGAAATATTTTAACAATGAGAAACCGACGAGAGAGAGGAAGGTGGAATAGCGGACTGAATAAATCATCATAGGAGCAAAACCATGTGTAAACAGAAATGGAGACAATAGAGGAAGAGGAGAGAATAAGTGAATAAAAAAGCTTCTGGGAAAGTAGGAGGAGTGGGAAACAGGGTCACTATAAGGAGGGAAAAATAAAGGATGACGTGGGTTTAAACATTTTAACGATGTTTTATTCACTAGAATGGCAGTGGATATCAAATGTAGATGGATTTCTTTTTCTGGAGATTTATTCTCTACTTCCTGTAGCTTGTGACTCATTCGTCTCTCCCCGTACAGAGGCAGGCTCCACTGGACGGGGTGTGTGTGTGACTGACTAATGCTGGTTGGCACATTGTCCTCTCCTCTCTCTTGTGAGTTTAGTTCACTTTTATGAGATTCATATAACCACTGCTATGCCCGGAATCTGAAGTCATCCAGTATTAGCCCCTAACGGAGGACCAAAACATCCTTTGCTGCCAGTGTGGGTGTGTCTCTGCAGGCACAAGGGATACAAATGACCTCTAACGCACAAATATACAGTATGGTTTACTACAGAATGATTATTTTTCCCTAAAGTCCTGACTAGAGGCAAAATCAAACCTCCAGGCATCCAGTTTGTGGTTGAAACAAATGACTTGTGTCTGCCAACAACACACATCTCTGTGAGACCTGAAAAGAGCCGTAACATTTACAACCACTTGTCCAACCAGGACTTTACAACCAATTTCACTGCAATGGAGCAGGAGGGGCCGTGCAATGGTACACAGGCTTTTCACCGCAGCTGTATCAGCATATACAAGTTTATGAGATCAAATGACCTGTCTCCTCTTTATCTTCAAAGCTGAAATAAAGCCATCATCCCCCACCCTGCGCACCAGCAATAGAGTGTAAGCTGGAAGGCCATCTGCCATAGATCAATGAGGTAAAAGACCCCTGTGGGCCAATTAATTTTTGCTCCCTCAGAAGGGTTGCTGGCTGAGCAAAGGGCAGGGCTGTCAGTGCGTGTTTGTCTACAGTGCTGAGAGGACGAGAGCAGCGGGTCTGTCAGAACAATAACGCTCCGCAGACTCCAGTCCATCCAACTTTAGTGCCATCTTGGGATTCTGTGCTGCCAGTAAAGTCACAGACCAATAAAAAAGTTGGGGTAATGAGAGGAGATAAAAAAGAAAGCTCAGGACTTCACTGGATATCCTAAATGGTTAAGAGTGGAGAGATGGCATGGCGATTAGTTTTTCCCACTTTACCTTCTACTCATTCTGTTCTGATTTCCTCCTCCCTGAAAGATGGTGGACCAGTTCAAACCAGATTAAACCAGACCAGTGCCCTTTAAAATCACTTTATTTATCATTTTAAAGCAAAACAGATCAATATATCACAGTCTTCCAATGCAATGCCGGAGTATTATACATCATTATAGAATCAATATTTACAGCTAAAATAAATTACATTAAAAATAATAAAATGACAATGTAAATGTGTATGTATCATACCATTAATTAATCCACATACAATGACACCTACATTTGTTTCACAGCTCACTTAAATTACCCCTCCTTAAACATAATGTAACACTACAGCGATAAACTGTCCCTTCAGTGGAAATACCAGCATTCATACAAGCATCACATTGAGCGACCAGCAAAAACAAGAACTTAAAAACATTGAAAAGAAATACAGAAAACTGTATTAAAACCAAACCATCTGCGGAGACAGTTTAATGTCACTAGCTTGAAAGTGGGATACCCGTGACCAAACCAGCCCAGAGCTCAGCACATCCCAGGAGGAAGGTGAGAGGTATGGGGTGGCAAGGAGACATTCATAACCTGGATGTTTTGGTTCGATGTGGTCCTGCTGTACAGTATAACAAGCGATCAGGAGGCAGACGGAAATGGAAAAGCGGTAATTTAAGGAATAGAATCATGTTATAGAGCAGGATTTTGTCTGAACAGATGGTGTTCCTTTCTAGTCCCTTTTTCAATCATCTGCACTGATGAGGAAACATACCTGATGAGTGAAATCATTTATTCTAACAGAAAGCCTTTTTGATGATTAAGAGAAGCCACCTTTGACTACACAGATGAACCTCAGATGTTCCCTCGCCTCGTGTAAAGGTAAACGTAGTGAAATGAAAATGTTCCCCATAAACGTTCTCATCGTCAGGCGGTGAGAAGACAGCACACAAGGAATCATGGATAGACATCTGAGGTTCATTCGCTAAATGTTAGAGCCCTATTATAAGAGGCTGCTGCAGCACATTCAGACCAGCTTGTTGGCATGGATTCCCTGCCTTTACAGTATCTATCTATGTTATGTAATATGCAGGACCTGGAGTTTCCCTGTTGTCAAGGCAAAGACAGGGCACTACATGTGATATGTATCATGGAATGGAGCACTCCTTCACATTGACTAGAGGGCTGAGAGTTAGTGTTTTCTCCCAAACCGCGTTAAAATATCTCCTCAACTCCCCTGTGTTCCTGTAGCAGAGTATCTAACCAAGGGATCAACCCGAGTCTTAGTACCGATCTCACAGCAGTGTTACGTGGAAATACTGATGATAAGATCCGTACTAATGGCAAGGTGAGGCCAGATCCTTGAAGGTACACAGGCTGACACTGAGGAGGGTGTGGGAGGCTGGCTGGCGCCCCCTAGCGGGAGTGGGGGACTGTGTGCAGAGGAGAGGGAGAGGAAGAAGAGGAAGAGGAGGGTTCTCCCCCATCCCCCTCGTCAGACACTAGCGATATCGCAGGATCACTGGAACTGAAAGAGAGACGGAATATTTTGTGAGAAGTTCTGCTTGTTATAACCTTAAAGTCCCCCTGCAGTCAAAAAATCTGTTGTTCCTACAGCGTGATGTTTAAATTATGTATGTGCAGAGTTTGACACT